ATTTTAAGGAAAGAGGCATGACATTTTCTGTCAGAAAGAAAAGATTTTAACTAAGGCCAAACACTCCATAGCTTTCGTTCACTTCAAAAAAAGAAAAAAAAAAAGGCAATCCAATTTCCTTATTTTAAAGACTCCTATTTTCAGGGTTAAAGGAGAACTAGAAAGGAACAAGAGACTTGCACAAGACATGTCTCCAGTTTGGCTGTGAGAGATCAGCCAACTCCTAGTTTTGTGGAGAAGGAACTCCTAGCACAAGAACACACTGTAGCCCCCATTACATCCTTCATATATTATGTAGAAATAATATTTTAAAAATTAGATGAGAACAGGCTGAAAAGGAGTTAACTAGGAGTTTTTGAGGTACAGGAAGATGACAGAAGCAGATCAAAAATCAACAAAGGACTTCTGATAAACCCAGAGAGCAATTTTAAATTAATTTGATTAAAATGAAACCACGGGTACAGCCTTGCAAAATATTTCTGGAAGAAAGAGGGCACAGCCACAGCAGCATTCAGGATCCCTTCATCAGAGAGGGGAGGTGTTCAGGAAGACTAAGAGGATAAAGGTATTCAAAAGACTCAATGTCCTTTAATTTTAAAGGAACATTTAATTTCAGGGGAAAGAAAAGAACATGAAGAGTAAGATAAAGATAAACTCTTTCGTCATTATAGCTATAATATGTGAAGAAATAAAGTATAAATAAAAGTTTAAAATGTAATCTAAAAATGACATGGAGAACAAAACAGAAGTACGTTCAGAATTCTCATCCAAGGTTTTAGTTTGTAGAGCCAAAGGGTTAATTCCAATACTCAAGGAGAATGAAACAATTAGAGGTAGGATTTAGGCCAGGAAAAGTGTGTTCCAGGATGCTGGCTTTTTGAAGGCACTCAAGAACAGAGTGAGAGAGACTGAAGCTGCAGTGATGACAGATGATGAGAGGTGTGTCACTATCTGTCATAAGGAAATAAAAACAACTCCAGGAACCTTGTGACAATACATATATTATTGAATAACACACAGAGTTAACAAGGTAGAAATCCACTTCCTAAGTAGTTTCTTATAATACAGCTTCTGTTTAGGACGTAAGAAAAAGAAGTCTGTTTTCCAGATATGCAACTCTGTAAAATAGTTTTGACTTAAATGAAGACTTTGAAAAGGTACATTATCTGGTTCTTTAAACAAATTTTAATGAAGCTAAAGCTTCAAAGTTGGGATAACCAAAGAGATTGATTTTCATTTGAATCTTGCAAAACCTATCCTCTAAGACAAAAAGATCTCATCATAAAGTCTATAAAAAGTCTAGAGCATATAAAAGTATAGAACTATGAAAGTGGATATATTGGTGGCAACTTTTATGGCTTCCATAGAAAGTGTAGAGAGGATCTCTGGTTTGCTTTATCGAGGTAGTGTCCAGGGCTGGAAGGTCATCACGCTCTACTATAAATGCTACAGGTGACAGCAGCAGGTCAACTTAGGTGTTCTTACTGCATAATAAGGCCACTATCTCTAATGGCCAATGACCTTTCATTCCTGAAAAAATGCTCTTTTGGAAAATTTCCTATGTTGGCTTAGGCCAAAGGAAAATTAAAACCAAATATTTACTTGTTCAGTTTTATAGTCTGAAGATTTCCAATTGAGATGATTTTTGTAATGGTAGCTGATAAAATTCTTAAAATGTAACTCATCCTTGTTCATTACTTCCCCTACAGGCCAGACAGAACAGCAAGTAGAATCCATCATGTGGGTCAGCACTGTTGTAAGAGTTGTCTTTTCTGAACAGCAGCTCAAACAAAAGGGTTTCTTCCCAAGTTTAGTTTTCTCCTCTCTCTTTTACAATGCCACCCCACTGACTATTCTGCAAGATGAGCACATATATACACATCTGTAATCAATTGCTATTTCTGCTTCATTTTCTCAAAATTTAAAACTTCCAGTGAAAGCAAAATTAAACATAGATATCATTCAACAAACAAAACTGAAAAAAATTCCAAGAAGTAGAAAATTCTTAATTTACAAGCATCTCTTCAGAGCATTTTGCCTTCAGTTAGTAAGTATAGTAGGTACAATCAAATTATAGGGAGTGTCCTAACCACAATGAAAAGGTATAACCAGTAAATGTAGTATTTAAAATGGCAGTCCAACTATGGGGCTGTCTATGCTCAGTCATTCACTTAGAACAGTTAATGTAAATGGTAGACTGTAAAGTATATGTAACTGATTTGCAAAGGTTTCCTTCAACTATTATGTAGTTTTACTTGGAGATGCCCTGCTTGCTAAAAATAATCAAATCACAAATACATATGGAAATAAAAGCCACATATCTTTCAACGACTAATCTTATTTTCTTCAAACTGAAAGACCTAATTTAGTATATGCCTAACTGATATGATGTGAGAAAGCAGCAAGCATCCTTTCATATGAGGCTAAGGAAGAGTTTATATGTGAATGATAAATCTATAAAACAAGACTAGAAAAATGAAAAAAGAAAAAAAGAGCAATGTCAACTCAAAAAAGTTCTTGGAAATTTTCTCAAATAAATCTTAAACTTAGCAAGAAAGGATACAAACATTTGAAGAAAGTAAAGTAAGAAACAGCCTCAATTGATTATCTATACAATGATGAAATGTGGCCTTTGCTGTCTTTGAGAGATAAGGGCTGAGAACTCAAAACTCCTCTGCAGTTCTTTTTCTCACTTACAGATAGCAAATAGGTAATAAATTGGGAAGAATTCACAGGGTTCTGAACTGTAAGTGTGAGGGAATGTACTACACAATGCCACTTTTGTTTTAGTAAAGGACCCCAACTAAGTTTTCGACCCTGAGCTTGAGTCTTAAGCGTGTTAAACCTGATGTACATACATGTTTAAGGCTTAATGCTGCAGTTCTTATATTCAGAAGTAATATCGCAAATATGCTTACTGCATTTTATTATTTACACGTAATAGGACACTAGTGAGGAATCAGTAAGTTCTGAGCAGGTTTCCTGAAGACCACAAGTCCCCAAGTCAAGGAACGTATACTTGTTCAGGAAAAAAAGGGGAAGTTTTCACATTGCTATAAAGGATTGTGTTGTATAATACAACGCCGATTTTAAAAAAATCTTTTTTTTTTTTTTTGCTTCTGTTAAGGAGGGTGGTGGTTATTTGCCTAATACTGGTTTTCCTATGTAGCATCTTTCTTATGGCTATATTCACTTGAATAAATATCAAAGACGGCCACCTGCACTTTCCCAGTGTATGATCAAAGCACACCTCATAAATGGTTGATCACCAGGCCATCAGTGTAGAATTTAGTACTGCTGCCCAACACTGTATGATTATTTAGAAAAAAATAAGGTATAACCAATTAACTAAACTGCAATTTAGATCTAAAAAAATCATTTTAACATTGCTGGCCTGACATGAGGTAATGCTGTCTAAAGGAGCAGACCACACACCTGTCATGGAATGCAAGGGGCAGCAGCCACTGAAATGATGTCATAAACAAGGAACAGATTTTCCTTAGTAGTTTGGGTATCTGGATGTTCACAGAATGTATACAAGTATTTAAAATAACATTCTTGATATCCAAAAACAGGAAGAAAAGTATGTCTTGAGATTCTTTTCTGCCTCACTTCAAAATTTTCCTATGCTCACTGGAGAAGACAAAGGCAATAATCAGAAGAGAAAACAAATCTGGAAGTATTAAACCAAAAATGTAACAGAGAATATGATACTTTAAAAGAGATTTAACCTCAACTGAAAGAATTCCACTTGTCCTGCCACAGAGCCAATTAGTCAGAAAGTGTTGGAAGCCTATCTGCACACTTAACATCAAGAATAAAAACTAAATAAAAACCTGTCTTCTTAAAAAAAAACAAAAACCTGCCTTCTGATTCAGGCAAGGATTTAAGAGGTTGAGGAAAGAAAAATAAAGAGAGGGAGAGTGAAAAGAGAGAGCATGCGTGAGTGACAGCGCTGGCCAACTTCAGAACTCAGTTATCCGAGATGGAAAAACACAAATATTTTAGATACATTCAATGTGGATAAATCTGATCTGTTAAAGATAACTAAGTGTGTTACTGGTTATAGTGATTATATATTAGCCCTTCCGTTCAGTCTTTCCTATAAGTTCTTGACTGATCATGCTCTTTTGAAGTTCCCCAAACCTGAAAAAAGTAACGTCCCTACAAAGCATTACAGGTGCTGCTCTACTTACAAATGCTGCTATCATGTAAGTATTTGCAGAGGACAAGGCAACAAAACTTAGAATTTCCTCTCCTGCACTAAATTTAAACCGTTAAAATAGCTCAAAGCTGAGACTATATCCAGGGATACAAAAGACACTAAAATCTCATAATCAATCTGTGTTCTCAGCCACTGTCAGCACCACTTTTGTGATTTCAGTGAACTACTGTATCTTTTCAATAGCAATTCCAGAGACATAAAAGAACATCAAAATGAGCCGTGCATTATGAGACTTCAATTTGTTATCCCAGAAAAGGTTGGACATGAACACAGTTCTATGTAAGTGAGATATATACCTGCCTGAGATGAAATAGTCCTCACCACTTCCTCCTCTTGACCATGAACAACTTCACGTTTAAGACCTGCAGGCTTGAGTGACACCCCTGGAAAAGCCTCATCCCCTGCAAGTCACTCGCCAACACACAAACTGAGCCAGGGCAGCGTGCACAGCAAGAGCCTGTCAGTGAGCCTGAGACACAGCCGAGTGCTAAGTAGAGATTATAAAACTACCAAGGACTTATACCAAGTTTTAAAAGCAAAACCCCATTCCTGCAATAACCTGGTCTAGAGACCCGCTCAGATTCATCTAGTCGCTGAAGCACCTTCGAGTTGTACGGATGTAAGAATAACTTTGAACTATAGAAGTTATATGCATTTTTAAGAATCACATTTTGATGATTATAAAAAATTTTTCTATTTTACAACATAGGTCCAGCTACACTGAAAAATTACACCGCTTATTGAAATACATTTCATTTTAGAAACAGACTACTAAAGAAGTCTATACAAAAACTCTAAAATAATTTCTGTAGTAAAATAAAGAGTGCGTTGTTAGGAGAGCTACACAAAGAAGAAAAATTTCATCTTTTTCTATAATGCTTGATATATTGTGAAACATGGCTAGCTCAACTCTGCAGCCAGCACCAAAAGCTGAAAAGAATTCATTACGATACACAGTGATACAATTAATGCTCTGGATTAATCTCACAGCCTTCCCGATTAGTACAAAGGAAACCAGGTCTATCCCCTCTTTGAGGAGAAGTCCAGGGTATAAAAGCAAGCATACCTCATCAGCTGATATGAAATTATAAAACTCCAGAAGTCTGAGTATTTGAAATTTATAAAAGTCACCAGAAAATGCAAGCAAATTGGGCTTTAGTCGGTGGTTTCCCCTGGTTTAGATGACAGTTCCCTCTGTGAGCTCGAGGTGGTCTTCTTGTTCATTCCCTTGGATGTGTTGTGTTGACTCACCAAGACAATGACAAAGCTCTTGGTGGAGGCTGAAGAGAGTCTGACAGCTACAGAAATGCTCACCAACTCCCTCTGCAAACTTGTCTATGGGAACGTTAACTCGCAGAGAACACAATTAAGGAGATGGATGTTAATGATGCTGTGCTGAACTGTTCTTCTCTGCCAGGTGCCGCAGAAAGTTGTCCTCACCCTGGCCTCTGTGATTTAAAGGCTCGCTCTTAAAGAGAGCGGGAGGTGGGGGCAGGTGAGGGACTGGAGGGATAGGAAGGTGGTGTGGGTGGTGAGGGTGTGGGTGGATGTGAAGGTGTGAGAAAGGGTGGGGGATGGGCCGAGGGGGAAGCGTGCTTACAGGATTCATGTTGATGGGTGGGGGTGGGGTTGTAGGTGTGTTCACCATAGAAGGAACTGGGGTGGCAGGGGAAGTTGTAAGTGGGATCTGGACAGCAGGCGGCACATTCACGGGGCTGGTCACCCGAAAGCACTTCTCCTTGTGGGCCTTAAGCATGTTAGAGAAGCGGAACCGCTGGCCACACACATCACATGGATAGGGCTTCTCGCCTGTGTGAGTTCTGCGGTGCCTCTTCATGTTAGGGCGGCTGGTGAAGCTTTTGCCACAGATTTCACAGATAAAGGGCTTCTCTCCTGAGATGAACACAGACATAAAAAAATGATTAACATAACTGACAGTATTTATGTGCTCATGTACATCCTCATCTACTCCTCTCCCTGATGGCACACTGCACTCTAAGAGTCAGAGAAGGGTCTCTCAAAGCTGGGACGTAGTAAGTAAGAGCAGATACAAGGAAAACCTACATACAACCGGCTGTCAGGGCTTGGCTTAAAAAAAAAAAAAAAAGAGCGAGAAGGCTGTGGCATCTTCCATACACTTGCTGAAGAAGGATTCAGTGATTTCCCAATGCTCAAGGGAATCCACAACACAGGCCAGTGCACCTGTGAGAGATTTCTGATATCCAACCAAATACTTTGCTAAAATTATCCTGAGGAACAAGCATGTCTCTTCATGTTTGCTTGTCTACAGTCCTCAGCATGTGGCTTGCTTTTTCGTACTGGACTAGAGAAACCCTGGCCTACTCCCCTACAACAGTGTTTCTCTGCGGGAATGCCCATCTGGCACATTTGAAGAGCACCGCGTCATCTAAATGCTCCCAAGAGATTCTGACGATCAAAAATGTTGCCACTGCATTGGGTGGGGTAGCTACTTGCTCCTGAATGTGCACAATGGGGCCACTGAGTCAGAAGGAAACAGCCCCCTAGCCTGCCTGCCGCCATACCCAGGCTCTGGCAGGGGTGAAGTGGCGGGGAAGGAACAAAACCACTCTGAATGTGGATGTCCACGAATCACTTGCTGGGGAATGCTGTGGTGAGGGGCACAGCACCTGCACTTCAGGGATCACGCCAAGTGAGGACCCCGTCACCACTTCCCACAGTTGCAGCTTGTATTTCTACAGCAGCTCCGCTACAAGAGAGCTGGCTGTCACTTCAGTTACGGCATATGCTTGCTCTCCCATCAGTGTCCTCAGTCACTCTAGGAGAGTAACAACTGTTGTGTACTGGGTCTTACCGTGTACTCAGAACTGTTCTAATCACTTCACATCAATTAACCTTGGTGATCCTCACAGCAACCATCCACCATATGAAGCAGGCTTGTTATTATTCCTGTTTTATTGATAAATGAATTAAGAAATTTGCCCAAGGTCCCTGCCCAAGCTAGTAGAGTCAGGATTTAAAACTGCATTTTGGGGGCCTCCTGGTGGTGCAAAGGGTTAAAATGCAGCACTATGAACCTATCCATAGCCACTGCAGCCACTGTAACACAAGTTTGATCCCCAGCCAGGGAGGTGACCCACATGGTGCAGGAGACTGTTCCTATCTTGCCCACTACTCCCCTCAGCAGTGTGTTTCAGTAGATTTGCCTGCTCTGCTCCCCATTCTGTCTCTGGTGAATCCTCTCACACCCTGCATCTCTGGCCTGTACCCTAGTTCTTGTATGCATAAGTAAATAAATCTTTAAAAAAAAAAAAAAAGAGGAAACACTGTAGAGAAAAATGCACAAGCAATTCAGAAAATATACAGTTACCAAATAAGCATTTGAAAAAATGTTCACTATTCCTGACAATAAGTGCAAATACACATAATAAACAACCACTTTGCCTATCAAATCAGCAAGGATTTATTTTGTATTGGAAAGAGTTGAGGAAATGAGTACTTTCATGAATAGCTTATAAGTGTGTGTGTGTGTTTGTGTGTGTAGAGCTACTCTAAAAATACCAAATCTTAAAAACGATGGTATCAGGCCCTCCCTGGTAGTGTAAGAGGTTAAAGCGCAGCACTATGAAGCTATCTGCAGCCACTGCAGCACGAGCTCAATCCCCCACCAGGGAGCTGGCCCACATGGCGCACCTCTCCTGTCTCGTTTGCTGCTCCCCTGTACCTCAGTTCTTCCTCAGTTATTGTATGCATAAAAAATAAATCTTTTTTTTTTTTTTAAGATTTATTTGTGCATACAGAGCTGGGGTGCTGGGGTACAGGCCAGAGGCTCAGGGGTGGCGAGAGGCTTCACCAGAGACAGAGTAGGGAGCAGAAGAGGCAGATTGACAAAGTACACTGCTGAGGGCAGCAGTGGGCGGGTCAGGAGAGGTCTGCCACGCCATGTGGTCACCTCTGGGGCAGGCGGGAATCGAACTCATGCTGAAGTGGCTTTAGCTTCTCAGTGCTGTGCTTTAACCTGCTGTGCTACCAGGGAGGGTAAAAAATGAGTATATCCCATTGTCTTAATAATCCCATTTTTAGGAATTTATCTTAAGTAAACAATTATGGATGTGCTCATCACAAAACTGTTGGTCAAATATTAGCTGTAACAGTAGAAAACTTGGGAACAGACATAATATAATGTACAATGGGAACTTACTAAATAAAATGGAGATAACATCCTTTCGACTCTTGTTGTAAAGGTTAAATTGGTAAAATGAGATAATGCACATAAAGCACTTAAAATAGTACCTGGCATATATGCCCATAATAAATGATGTCTATTACCACAGAAAACTTATAGGGACTATGAATGACATTATACAATAAAATAAAAAGCAGGTTATAATAGAGTATAACTTGGTTTTATTTTTAAGTACATGTACACAAAAATACCTGTGTATAGTATATATGTATACATTATTAAGAAACTGGAGAATTTTTTAAAAAAAACAAGTGTATGCCAAGATTGAACAGTAGTAATCTCTCATTGACAACTGATCATTCTTATTTTGCCTTCAATTTCCATATTTCTAATACACTTTAATACTTTTATGAAATTTGAGGGAATTTTGATAGCTACACTATAAGAAATATTTATTTAGCTTTCCACTTGGTTGAAGAATACTTAACAAAAATTTTATTTAGTAACTATGTTAATCATGAGATAGCTAACTATGTCGTCATTTTGGTTTCATATTATGGGCATTTAAGGGCCTGGGGAGAGAAAAAAGGACAAAGGGGAAGAAGAGAGAAAGAAAGGCAGAGAGAGAGGGGATGGCAGAAGGGAGGCATGGAGAGGCAGTCCTGGAGAGGGACCCCGTGCAGGGGCCTGGTGGCTGCAGGCCCTTTCCACTGTGCACCACACAGTCTGTGTGCCAAGGGACGTGCGGAAGTGATGATTTCTACCTTTAAAATAACGTATTTTCTGTTTAGTTCAAGAGTTTTCTGCTCAATAACAAAAAACTGAAACCTAAAAGTGATTAAAAGCCTATTCAAGAGCCACCAAGGGGGGGGGGGGAGAATATGTTATTTTATTTTATTATTTTTAAAGACTTATTTATTACCCTTTTTTAAAAAAAATATTATTTATGGACACCGAGGTGCAGGGGCGGTAAGAGGATTCACCAGAGACAGAGTGGGGAGCAGAACAGGCAGTAGATGAAGTACACTGCTGAGGGGAGCAGCGGGCGGGTCAGGAGAGGTCTGCCCGCCATGTGGATCGCCTCCGGGGCAGGCAGGGATCGAACTCATGTGGAAGTGGCTTTAGCTTCTTAGTGCTGTGCTTTAACCCGCTGTGTCACCAGGGAGGGCCCAAGATTTATTTATTTATGTATACAGAACTGGGGGACAGGCCAAAGGTGCAGGGGCAGTGAGAAGATTCACCAGAGACAAAGTAGGGAGCTGAACAGGCAGGTGGAGTGAAATACACTGCTGAGGGGAGCAGCGGGTGGGTCAGGAGAGATCCTGCTGTGCCACGTGGGTCACCTCCAGGGCAGGGATCGAACTCATGTTGAAGTGGCTTTAGCTTCTCAGTGCTGTGCTTTAACCTGTTGTGCCACCAGGGAGGGGCTGTTATTTTATTTTTTTAAAGATTTATTTTAACTTATTTATGCATACGAGAACTGGGGTGTAGGCCAGAGGTGTAGGGGTTAAGAGGAGACAGAGAGGGGAGCAAAACAGGCAGATCTACTGAAATGCACTGCTGAGGGGAACAGCAGGCAAGACAGGAGAGGTCTGCTGTGCCCTGGCCAGGGATTGAACTTTTGCTGCTGTGGCTGTGGCTGGTGATAGCTTGATAGTGCGGAGACTTTAACCCCTGTGCCACCATGAGGTACGAATTTGTTGTATTTGATGTATCCTGCTATTCACTTGGACTTCAAAGTCATAATTACCCTTTGATATGTCATTTACTTAACCTCTTCATCTAGCCAAATCCTTAAAATCTGAGGGTGCTATGCTCTGAGTGGGGAAGTACATCAGACAGGCATTTTTCTTTGGACTTCACCATAGAAATGGGAATTAAAGAGTTCCAGTCATAGGCAGGATTTCCTCACAACTAGTTAAAAAAAGAACAGCATGCTAAGCAAGAGAATGGTTCTGCTACTCGGTAGCCTAACAGAACCTAGACTCCTATGATTGAATTTTATTTAGAAACCTTAACATTTTTTCATACTATTCAATTTGTGCAGACAGCTGATCCCAGGAGGGCTGGGAGGACTGAGATAAAAACATAGTGTTTACAGAGGGGAAAAATCAGATGCTTACACATCTATGCTGTAGGGCATTTTAACCACAAAGTGGTTAAAAACTGTTTAACTTCTGTTAGTGGACATGAGCCTCAACAGCAATGAATTTTGGTAATCAAGTCCAATGAAATTTTAAGACTACTGAGAATCTTCGAGGTCAGTATTCTCAACTTTTCTCAAGGCACAGAACCCTTTCCTTACAAAAACAATACATGTAAGGGAGTCTTAAAGAACTCGAAGTTCAAAGGCACTAATAATCACTTTTGAAAGAAATAGTTCTAAAAGTCTAATTTTTCAGTATTATAAATTCAGTTTTTTATGTATCAGTTTTATTTAAAGTATTTGTGGTATACATTTTTAACACAGCCTCACAGGTCCTCATCAACAAACAAATGCTTTAAAGCATATCTGACCTTCCCCCAAACCCTTACCAGTGTGTGTCTTCATGTGCTCGTCAAAGTACTGCTTCATGTTGAAGTCCTTGCCACACCACTGGCACATGAACTGCTTGTGCCCAATGTGGATGCTCATGTGGGACCGCAGCTGGTACTTGTACTGGAACCTCTCGTCACAGTTCTGCGTTAGACACAGTAGAGAGTTCTGAATGCTGAGGTAGCAGCTTTACTTGATCCCACCCTACGTGGTCTGAGATTAGGATTAGGATTAGAATGCCATACCTGCCTTCTGGCAGATGAAATGGGTGTGCTTTAGCTTTATGGCACAAAACCAAAATATAAGCAACTACTATTTTTCCATGGAGCTCAGATTCCAACACCAACACCTGTATGTTCTACTTTCCAAACCCTTCTCTGAGCAGCGAGGTACCTGAGGATCTGTGGACATGCTGCCTGCCGCCTATGCCACAGCACACCTCTCAATGCATCCCCTTCCCAAACGCGAGTTCCAAAGTAGGCCTTACCTCGCATCTGAAGGGCTTCTCTCCAGAATGCTGCAGGGAGTGCACCTTGAGAGACATACTGCGTTTGAACGATTTTCCACAGGTTTCACATGTAAAAGGCATGTCTTTCGTGTGCGCTGCAACATGAATACACTGATATTCAAAATAAGAGCCAAAAAGTTCAAAACTGAAAAAGTTAAATGCCTACCATAATGATAACTCTGCCATCTTAATTTTCAATACTTTAATCTGTAAGGCTTTACTACCAACGTTCTATAGAGAAAATAAGTACCAACACTGAAAAGAAACTGGGGCGTGGAAGACGACACCAATTCAATCTGGTGATGCTTACCGAAGACAAGTTGATTTAGTTTCAATAAGTCAAAGGAGGCAGGCTCCTCATATCCTAACCAATTCAGAGCATAAAACACACAAAGAATAAGGGAAAATTATAGATGTGAGAGCAGCAGAAAAAACTTACCAACCATGTGTTTCCGCACATGAGCCATGGTATAGAATTTCTTCTCACAGATTTCACAGGAAAATTTCTTTTCTGCATATCCATGAACGATCTTGATGTGTTCATGAAGGGACCAGAGTTTCTTGAATGATTTGTTACAGGAAACACACTGAGCAGGATAAATAAAAATAATCTTTATTTGTAGGGGCTTGCAGAATGCCATACCTGCCCACTGGCAGATGAAATGGGTGTGCTTCAGCTTTATGGCACAAAACCAAAATACAAGCAACTACTATTTTTCCATGGAGTTCAGATTCCAACACCAACACCTGTACGTTCTACTTTCCAAGATGAATCTTTTAGAAATATGGGGAGCATGAAAACAATAGCAAAAAGTAAGACAAAAAGAAATAGAAAATTCTACTAATACCAAATAATTGACTGTTTTTATCAAGTTAATATTGTACCTATAAAGAGAACCTCACAAGAGCCTCCTATACACAGGTCATTATACAGTTAATAGGTGTTTGTTCAAGAACACATACTCAACAAAACATATATTAATGGTTATAGAGCTAAAAAAAAAATGCTTTACACCTTAGAGAATGCATCTGGAGCCTTCATCAACAAGTTATTGAAATTTTATTTAATTTCCCAAATACAGACTACTGTATTAAACATTTCCCTCTGGCAGAATTTAATAGAACCACTAAATTGTTAGTATTGTTTTGCTTTTCCCCAGTTCCAGTTCTCTCTTACACGCATCTGTAGGAAGCACATACAACATGGCCTTGTTTCTCGTATTACAAATTATTAATAGCCCGAGATATCAGGCAAAGTGTATCGTGTAAAATATTTCTGGTTAAAGCAAAGTAATACTGGAAGGTTCTAGATAACTATCAAATTCTGGGATTCTGAAAGGAACAAGTTGGCATCCACTATAAATGTCTCTGAACATTATTGTCACTATGAGAAATAGTACTTTGAAAAAAATTAAAAAAATAAGCCTCTGGACATCGTTTGAGATAAGGACAAACCATTCCTATAAGTCATTGTGTATGGCAAGGTTTTAATTTGTACTTACTACTAAGTCATCAGTATTATCAGGATCTATAATGTTAAGAACAAAGCACATCAGGAATATAAAGAGTTCATTTAGCAGAAATCACAAAATGTAAACACAAGTTTAAACATATGGTAGGGAATCATGAGAAAAGTCAAAAAGAATCATTAAGTGCTTACTTTCCTGTAACTTAACAAAGGAAGTTTAAAAATTATATAAAGCTCAGGATCCAGATCCAGCCTTTCAAGGAGGCACGACGGAACCCACGTCTGACCCCTAGGGTGCAGCACCACACCACGCTTCCTGCAGCCTGGGCCGCTGCAACCAACTGTGACCAAGCAAAGGGATGGCACTTCAGAGATCAAGTTACAACTAATAAATCAAAAAGTAGTCCATTTTTAGCAAGTGTGACATATTTTAAGAAATTCTCAGCTGTTGGTTAAAAGCAAGAGAAAAAGTGAAAAATAAGGAACACACCAACAAATCAACCACAACAAATTCATCTTTTAAAGGAAGTTTAAATATGGTAGAAAAGAGTTCTATTTTAAATATCTCATGAAGACAGACTTACCTTTCATGAATATTCATTAATATGCCTTGACAAGTGTGAACCAATATAGGACAATACAATACAATCCACTCAACGAAGCAATGGTAATTAGCACACCACTTAACCTATCACAACACAATCCTCTCAAGACACCAGCCCGGTGTGAATACCAGTTTTGTTACCTTAACAATACTGTACAGTAGCACAGCATAACTCTCTTATCAGGTGGGCAACATTTCCAACCAGCTCAGCCTCTTAACGTTTGCATATTCCCATGGGCTCAGCCTCTTGACAAATTTAGTGTTGTCATCTCTCCACTGGTAAAAGCAAACTCACTCCTGGAGGTCTTCCATTCCACCGGTCTGAGTCATTATGGCTTTTGTCCCCATCGCTGCACTAGAACCTGGCATCCCTTTAAAGCTAGAAAGGGACCTCTCTCTACTCTGACCCTTATTTAATACATCCCACACTAACAGAGAAGATGCCAGAATGAGTTACATCACGTGTCCTATAACAGTGAATCTCAGAGCAAAGTCAGTGTTGACTTTACCTCCTGGACAATCGCCTATAACAGATCCCCCTTCCAATGTTCCCACTGGGTTCCCACTAGTCCAGCAGCAGTTAAAATTAATACTTTTGAAATCACATGTTAGCTTGGATTTGAAAAGACCAAAAGCAGGAACTTTAAAAAAGATAAATTGGTGAAATCTGTCCCTTCAGCCTCTATTGTATTTATTCTCTTGGGCAGATACCAGGTTGAGTCTCAATAGCCAGGTGCTATCCTGGATAGTTTGCCCTCTTGGTGATTAAAACCTACCTGAATATTTTTTTCACAGTCTGTTTGCTGGTGAAGGGACAGCTCACTTTCCAGGACAAACTTCTTGCCACACTTATCACAAATCTGCATGCGCCTATGAGTAACGTTCATGTGCTTCTCCAGGTACCAGCGAGTATTAAACACCCTGGGGCACTTCTCACAGGTCAGAGTCTCTTTCTCTTCACACTTAGCTTTCTGGACTGGCGCTTTGGGCTCCTTTGTGGCCCGCTTCTTACGCTTAGGTGGCTCTACACTCTTCCTACGGCCTCTGGTCGTCCTGGGAGATGGGGAAGTGGCAGCTGCAGCCATAGAGGCAGCACGTCTGGTTCTCCTTTGTGTGACGCTTACTTTCTCCACGACCTTCTCCTTTTTCTTCTGCCTTTCATTCTCTCCATAGTCGTTGCTGTCATCCGTAGCTTCCTCCTCCTCACTCTCTTCCTCTTCCTCCTCACTGCTGGTCTTAAGAACAGGAGTCTCTTTGGACTGAGAAGAGACACCCTTTTCCCCTTTAGAGACATTTAATGTTTGATTATTAAGGTTTACCTCCACTATGATCTGCTCCCTTTTGTAAGAGACTTCCTCCTCCTCCTCTTCTGTGTCATCAGAATTCTCCCGGTCTTCTTTAACAGCATGCACATCAGACACTGCTCTTGGCTCCCTGAAATATGGCTGTTCCTCTGTTTCATGGAGATGCTGTTTGCTCATCTTGGAGTCCACTAGCACAGAATAAGGACTTCCTGATTCCCTTTTGTACACTTTGGTGGACAGGTCAAGTTCTTGGTTGGCACCATGATAAAAAGGAGATGGCACTTGCCCACGACGGCTGTCGTCTTGTGCCATCCCCGCCACATGCACAGCACAGTTTTCAACCAGCTCCTGGCATGAACTGGCTGTGTGACTCATTGGTAAGTGGCCCAATTTATTAAGCAGTTCACACTACAGAGAAACAGCTTTAAAACAAGACAACTATTAAGACTCAAATCTTTTTTCATTCACAAAGAATCACTCAAATGAAAAATGGTATTCCTGGAACCTGTGTGCAATTCTTCCAGTGTTGCAGCACCAAAGCAGAAGTCAAGAAGTTTTGGTATTATGGCAAGAGCAGAGCACTAGTGATTTTTTTCTTCTGAAGAGAGCTGCAAGTGGCTTGGAGCAGCTTATCTATAAAGAAAAGCAAAGAGGAAAAAGGTCAGATACTATTGTTTCCTTCTTACACTGTGCATCTACATAGCACAACAAACAGCTTAAATGACTGAATTCTTTATATACACAGCTCGTGATCCTTTTCAAATGGGTGAGCAGGGGCCACTGTTTAACTGAGTTACATTAATTCAACTAACACTTTGTTAGAATATAAATTCTAAGGCAAGCAGGATGTCACCAAGACATCCTCAGAGCCGAGAGCAGGTGTTTGGTATGTACTTGACAAGAAAGTGGCTAGTATTGGGTGGTATTCATCACCTCAGATGCTGTGGGACTCACTGAAATGGCAATATACACAGTTTCTGTCCACAAGGAGTTCACAGTTTAGTTACACAGCCTGTATCCTACTGAAACACAACGTTTTATATTGTCCTGCTTGCTTTTCAGTAGCAGTCTACCACCCCCCATAGGGACAGCTTACAGAACTAAGATGGCAGTGGGCAGGCATCTGGACCAGGAAGTAAAGCAGTGGACTGATATAACTATAGAAGAGACAGACAGTATCTCCACTTAAATATTATAAAGTAGGCAGAGACACCAGTGTAGGTTATTACTGCTTTCAGGCTTATAAGAGGAATTCCAAGTTGCTAGGTATTATTAAATTTATTTTATGCACAGCTAACTATTGACAGATCCACTCAAAAACTGGGCGATTTTTCATGTGCCAATTTTACAGAAGTCTAAATTCTATGAATTCTAAGAAAAAGTAACATCAGTTGATAAGTTTCCAAGAAAAATAAAACCTTCCATTAAAAAAAAATTAGAATAGTACATAATTTGCTTTGTGACATACCTCACATTGCTGTTCAGCCAACCACCTAACCTCTGAGTCACATAAAACTGCAAGCATATAACCAAAAGGAAGGAAATTAATATTGAATGCTTGTGAGTTGCACAGGCATTGTAAAGGTCCTTGCTGTTTATTGGTCCTAATTAATATCTACCATAAAATGTTGGGGTAGCTTTCTATCCATTTTAAATTTTATCAGAGTCATCACTGAAAAAAAAAAAGCACAATTTTGTAAGTCAAATATACTGCAAGATTTGTAAAAAGCAGCAATCTTCGGTTTAGTCTACCCAATACCATATACAACATGTCTGACTTTTCTAACTGTCCCCCACATATTCACTTTCATATGTCTAAAGAGTATGACTTTTCTACTCCTGACTTTTTTTTCAGTTTTGGGAAATTACCACTTTCCCCACTAGTTTTCTTACTCCACTGTCCCAATTCTCCCTTCAACCTCTTGGTATATTCTTAGCACAGCCTTTTGTTTACAGTATTTACCGTTTGTGTTAGACTACAACATGTAGTCACAACCATTTCTATCATTCCCCTGCTATTGTCTTCTCTTTTTCCTTAAAGAAATTTACTTTCATTTCAATGGACTTTAGGAAGGATCAATGGCACTATGTTTTTCCTGGCATCTGAATAAAAATATTTATATGTCTTTTTTATTACACATGAGGTTATGCCTCTAAGAATCTAATAAGTAAATGCGTTAAGAGCATGTATTTACTAAATGACAGAGGCAACGTTTGAACCAGACCTGAGTGACTGCAAAACTCAAGGTCTTTATCTTTATCCTCGGATAAATGACATTTCAAATGAATTTAAACTCAGTTACTCCTGCAACCACTTATCTTTTTGGATCAAACAGTTCTATAACATATAAATATTTATTTATGTATGCATGCAAATAAGAACTGGGGTACAAGCCAGAGGCACGAGGGGTGAGGGGATTCACCAGAGTCAGAGTGGGGAGCAGAACAGACAGACTGACTGAACTACACTGCAGAGGGGAGCAGCGGTGATATAGGAGAGGTCTGCCATGCCTTATGGGTCACCTCCCTAGCCTGGGATCAAACTCATGCTGCAGTGGCCATGACAGCTTCATAGTGCTGCTCTTTAACACCATGTGCTACCAAGCAGGGCCCTTACAACTTATATTTTAAGTAGGAAAATTTTAGTAACTTTATTTTGTATGTGTCAAAATTCTGACCCATGGAAATAAGGTTAAAAATACAGGCACTAAATGCACGGGATTATGGTGATGGCACACGGATGACTTGGTGATGGGAAACCCGCGGGGACTACAATTGAGATGGGAAAAAAAAATGTACAAAATGATGTAAAAATAAACTTTTGTAAAATAAAAAAAAAATACAGGCACTGTTAAATAAATTTATCTCAAAATAATCAAGGGAAGAGAGAGTAAAATTCAATGAACCAGCAAAAGCTAAAAATTAAACAAAAATCAGGAAGATAGAGAAAAAGATGAGAAATGCTGTTATAAGCATGATTAATGTATTCTTCCCAAATACTTCTGGTCCTTGGCCTGGGTATGTGGTAGGATGGCACTTTCTAACCCCCCCTGTATTTAGCTGGGACCCTGTGACACCTTCTGCCAGCAAGTCATATGTAAAAGTGATGTTTAGAAGGGCATTTTCTCACCAACACCAGACCTTGCAGATTTCTTTTGTGTCTGCCTTAGGGACCGGCAATCTTCCCTGTGACGACAGCTGTCACTCAACCTGGATGCCTTGGTGACTAAGCTGACCTACAGAATATGCATAGTTCAGTGGACTTTAAATTTTTATTATTTGTTAATTTTTACATAGGGTGAGTGTGTTTTTAAAGTTGCTGAGCTATTTGTTGCTTACTAATGCAGCATGATCTGGCCTATCTTAGTTGATATAAGTAGAGCCCAGAAGAGGGGTGTAGCTCATCATAAAAAACCCAAGATATTTGACAAAGGCTTGAGAACTGGGTGAAAGGAAGCAAGAAAAGTTACTGAAGGCTAAAAGGAAGGCAAACTGAATTATGAAGTGGTGAAATTATTGGTAAAACTATCACTTAATTATCTCAGAAGATAGATAACACACTCAAGAATTTATAGTTCAAGTGGGAATGTGAACTATTAAGAGAGTGTGTTGGTTACTTGGGCTGTATTTGACAAATTATTATTTGAAAAAGATGAATTCAGAAGAGAACTGATCAATTTATAATCAGATACTAGAGTCCAGAAAGTCAGGGATTTGTAGGGTTAGAAGAGGCAAGTACTTAACATAAAACTGAAAAGGTTTGTATTACGAACCCTGATTAGAATTTAATCTAGAGGCAAGGATCAAGTCAAAGATTTGGCCTTCACAACCAGTGATAAAATCTTCTAATTGATAAGGTGGCACTCAATAAAATAGATTTTTAAAGAGACTAAAGGTGAGGTTCTCTCAGTAAAGCAGTGTCTTGTCTGCTTATTGATACAAAGCACTTTTCCCTAATGTAAATTAGTTCAAACGCTATTAGTAAATAAGAGAACTATCAGAATAACCCAGAAGTCATGTTGATATACACAAGATTTTTCCTTGCAAGTTCACATTTGATCAGGAGTAAGCTTTCTCACAATTAAAAGAAATCCAATTCTGACATGAAGACCTTAATTTTTTTTTTAACAAACCGACTAGACTTTTTTTTTTTTTTAAGATTTATTTATTTATTTATACAGAACTGGGGTACAGGCCAGAGGCTCAGGGGCGGTGAGAGGCTTCACCAGAGACAGAGTGGGGAGCAGAACAGGCACATCTATGAAGTACACTGCTGAGGGGAGCAGCGGGCGGGTCAGGAGAGGTCTGCTACCATGTGGGCTACCTCCTGGGCTGGAGATGGAACTTACACTGAAGCAATGCACTACCAGGGAGGGCCCTAACACCTTAATTTTTTAATAAAAGGCTAAGCATCCTATTGCAAGTAGTGGCTGGCTCAGTAACTTCATGATCCACTCTACTGGATCCACTCTTCTGGCCAGTAAATCGTGAGTAGCAGTAATGTCTGGAAGGGCACTTTCGGACCGTTTTATATACAGTGAAGGTGAAAGTATATATTCCCTTCCTGTGTTTAAGAAAATTTTTGATTGCTAAAACCAATTCTTTATTATGAGGAGACTGTCTCTACTGTAAGCAAACTACTGTCAAGGTATTAATTCTGTAGAGTCACATGCTGGGTGCATACACTAATAGAGATTTAATATGCCTCTGTTTTTATCATAATTATTGTGATTTTGTTAGTGCACTGGTTTCATCATTCAATGGTTTAATTTTTTCTTTAAAGATTTATTTATTTATGCTTACAGAACTGGGGTACAAGTCACAGGTGTGGTA